GTGAAGCTTACATGTCCTCGGAAATGAGAATGTAGGCATACAGCAAAGAATCTCGTGTGTCACAAGTTTCGAAGATCAGGTACGGGCTGGCTGGGCAGGACCGCGCATGGAAATTCTCCAAGCGTGTGGAACTCGTGCGGGCCGGTACGGACAAATGGGAGGCAAGCTGCGAAGAAAGAACGGGCCGCGTGTAAGTTGAGAGCCGAGATGGATGACAGGCAGGGTGTCGGGATCGTATAGTCCAGCATCCCCTCGAAGGTTTCTTTTGAAGTGCCAGCGCACGAGATGGAGAAGTTTTTGATGTTTGCCACTTGGCAGAAGAACTGTGCCATGAGCCGAATTAGCCGAATTTCTTTTTCGAGCCTCTGAGCTCTCCTTTCTTCAGCCTTCAGGTCCTTCACGACGGCGCCGTGAACCGATGGATCAAGCACGGGCCGCATGACTTCGAGTTCGAAATGCCGCGACACGAGGACCAGGGCTTTTCTGGAAGTGTTTCACATTGGAAAGCTATGTCATGCTTTATGCTGCTTTGATGGTTCTGTGATCACGTCCCAGGAGTGGGATCGAGTCCAGCGTGAGGCAGAGGCTCACCGGTGCCCGCGCGCATTGACATGCCTGAGCTCACGTACAGCGAGCGGAATCACCGCAATCTGCACGACAAGCATGAATGCAACGACCCGCTCAGATTTGGGCAGACGGGGTTGCGTGCACTTCAGAGTCAGTGCTTGGCAGTCTGTGCCGAACGCTGCATGCTCACAGTCGAGAAGCCAGACTCGGAAAGTCTCGGAAGTTGTTCAGGCCAAGAGCGCAGAAGAGGCGAGGCTGGTTATGGCAGCGAAAAGCCAATTCTTGGAGGCACGTAGCGTGCTGTGCCTTTGCTGTGGAGTTTAGCGTCCTTTCTGTGGAGTCGAAGCCTAAGCTGTAAGCCTTTGCAGGGAAGACGAGCCCGGGAGTCGAAGGCAGATATCTCCTTCACTCCCTTCGAGCTTCAAGGCGGGAGAAACAGAGGGGAAGAGTCGAGCGCGGGAGTCTCTTGCAATTGAAAAAACCCTCCGGCCTGAGGAGATTTTGGATCCTTGGACGTTGCCTGTATCTCCGACGGCGACACGCGTGCTAAGGCTCCTCTGCACATGTGCATCCTCTGTGAGATCCTCTGGGCCTTTTACGGCTCATGTCCTCTCCTCTTCAGGTCCAGGTCCGAGCTTGGCTCCACCCGCGGCTGGGCGAGTGCATGATGCACTTCGGAGTCTTCGAGAGGCCGCAGTCTCGACAGTGGACGTCTGCAACTTGAAGCAAGCGAGCATGTGCTTCAGGGGAGTTTCTTGCACACATGTGCACACCCTGTCTTCGAATGAGGCAACCAAGATCAATGCGGTGGAGTGGCCATCGGACTTGCGCAAAGTTGATGAGAAGGCATGAACTGAGTAGTGTCACATATACATGTCTGGGTTTGTGTTAAGTTTTTCCCTGGACCCCGGACAGCTACGCTGTCACAGGCTTGCCAAATCACTCTGCGCAAGATGGAGGGTGGTATCCATGGTCTGGACTTCTCCGTGACGGCCCACACGGAAGTTGATGGCAACGAGACCATTCACGAGCCAGACATCGGAGGCTGCCAATGCATGTGAAGGGTGTCACCATCTGCAACAAACTACTTAGCCGGACACTTGCAGCAGCCAGTGTCCGTGAGCTTGGAAATCGAGACGGACCGCTCGGTTTCAGGGCTTTTTGCACGCTGATCCATCCTGCTCGGGCTTTGTTACACTGTATGCAAACATGCGGCAGTCGCGCAGGCCTTGGCTTTGTTTTGAAGACCGTGAACAACAACGTTTGGATCAAGCCGACAGTCTCTAAGCCGCACTTCCGAAGAAGGCCAGCAGCCCGATGCCAGCATGTCCACTCACGACGTCACCGCGAGACCAATAAACAATGAAGTGAGGCATACTCAACCCCCATATACATATACAGATACTTATACGCATACACACGCACGCACACACACCCACACACACGCACACACACCTTTACATGCATGCATGCATACATACATACATCCATATCTGCGTATATGTGTCTGTGTATGTATATAGATATATATATATATACACATACATATATATATATATATGTTGCATGGAGAGGTGTTTGTGTGTGCATGTGTGGCGTTTAGTTGTCT